TCCCACCCCCTTGATATCCCCGCAACACCATCAGCGCATTCTCACGCCGACGCAGAGCGCGAAGTTCGTCCTGTGGGTTTCAAAGAACAAGGCGTGCGTGCACATGCTGAACCAACTCTGGGACAAGCTGCACGGCGTAGACCAGTCGCCGGCTGCGTGACTTTTGTACAGTAGTGTATGGGGGTTTGGTCATCGCGGCATTTTGTACAATAGTGTGTGGGGGTTTGGTCATCGCGGCGCCCCGGCGCACTCGCGTGGCTGGCTGGCTTATCCTTGTGCTTTGCCCCGCAATACTGATGTCTCTGAAGGCTTTGGGTTAGGCGTAGATGATGGTTGGCCGGTGCTGGGTTGTGGTCGGTGGTGGTTGCGTGCCGAATGGTATCGGGGTGTCTGGCGTGTTTACTTGAGTGTCTTTCTCGGGTTCCTTCTGCTCCTTGGACATCAAAAAGCATGTTGATGGCGCAATGGGTGGCATGGGCCCACCTCTGTCTGGCGACGGTGTAGAGCTCCTTGCCCTTCCCACAATAAGTTGCTGCTGCAAATAGAAATCCAACTGTCGTGTGTGAAGTGGGTAAAGGTGATGTTGAGCACATGTTCAGCGCAACGCTCGCTCCTCTTGTAGAAACCCAGGTGGCAGAATTATGACATGTGGTATCTCGCCAACGGATAAACCTGGAACAGTGTGCTCGCCTCAAGTAGTGCGTTTTGTGATCATCCGTTCGTGTGTTTTCGTGTGCGAGGGCCTGGCCAGGCTCAGGTGTAGAAGGGCGATATGCAAATACAAATACCCTGGCGGTGATCGTCCAGATTAGGAGTCGGCGGTCTGATAGGGGCAGAACACCGCTGGAAAGTGCCGGTTCAGCTCTTCGTGTGCTGCAGGGTGTCTTGCTTGCCGTAGTTCAACCGCTTTCGTGCCGTATGTGTTAGGCATCTGTGCTTGCGAGTATTCTTCACGCCTTCTATTTAGCAAGGTTGCGGGTGGCGGATCACATGGTTTTGTTGTTTAGACGAGAACGGAGGCGGCGGCGGGGGGGGGGGGGGG